CTTTGTGTTACTAGTGTTGACAGCATAAAAGCCTGTAGTAGTTACCAAAATCTTACTGAGTTTCAAAATCGGATGACTGCGTGAGAAATTCCAAACGGTTAACGAAGATAACTGAATCCCGGTGTAAATCTAGATTACTGTAAAAAGGTGATTCTATTCATCCAACAGCAAAGGAAACATACGCGCGTGCTCCTCCTGCACTTGTCTGTTGACCTCTTCCACTACGTCCTGGATCTCAAAGTGTACAAGAAACTCGCATGGACTCTGGAACAAGACGAGGGGAACATGAATGCACATATTGGTGCAGCAGCTTGGTGAGAGTCACATCACACATCACAGGTTTTCTCTTTATGATCGGATGATGCATGTGCGATTTGACATGTTATTTCATACATTCTAAACAGGAGAAGAAGCCATCAAGTGGTGAAGCTGAAAGCCAATCATGTACATCATGTGTGTTTGTACGCGCGCAAGCACATGCACGTGCGAAACTGCGAATGAGAAAGTGAAAGAAATATGTAAGAAATGTATATACACACACACGCACGCACGCACACACGCACGCACGCACACACATAAATGTATAGGTATGAATGTAATAAATAAGAAGGCCTGCAACCTAGGGAATTTTCTAACGTGAAGCCCGACGTTTCGCGCTCACCTCATCTCTCCTCTTCTGTGCTCTGAGAGCGTGCAGCCTATCCTGGTACTTGTCCTGATGAGACTCCTCGAGACCGGAGATGTGGGCGTGTCTGTCCACCAGCGCCTCATACATCATCTCAGCGTTGCGCATTTCCACCGCCAGGTTGATCTTAGCGATCGCCGTCAGCACTGCAAACAGAGGACATCACATGTCAAACAGATGTCGTCACACGTCAAACCTAGGTCGCCACGTCAAACCCTAGGTCGCCCCTCACAACCCTAGGCCACCACGTCAAACCTAGGCCACCAAGTCAAACCTAGGTGCAGCGGGTCGCCACGTCAAACCCTATCCGCCACCACGTCAAACCTAGGTCGCCAACTCAAAAGCCTAGGTCACCTAATGTCGGGTAAAGGAGTGTACACCATCCAACCAAGCGTCGCCAGACGTTCAGGACTAGAGGGTCACATCTTAGAGGGTTACACGTCGGACAGCTATAAACCGCTGAAGAGGACGCACGACGGCACACTCCCCGTTAGAGCACGCCTTCCGATTAACAGAGCAGTCCGGATCCCCAGCGGAGACGAGGGCAGACGCAGTCCTGCGCGTGCGAGCGGTTGCCAACGCGGTACAGAACCGAGGAGTGTGCTACAGCATCTTTCACAAAAAATAGTGTCAAAGTTTCAACAATTCTAAGCCAAAGTGCACCAATGTTGCCCAGTTTCTTTGGCTGGCGTAGCTGCCCCCACTCGAGCGCTGCTCGACGCTCACCTTTGAATTTGCCGCCGGCGATCTATCGCTACTCCAGGTAGGGCGTGCTTCTCCTGCTTGATGGGCTGGCTGTAGTGGGTAAGAGGGTGGCCCTCCTCGTGACGCGCGTGGAGGAAGCTGCCGTCCTACCTGGTTGAGAGCTAGTGCACCGTCAGTGCCACCGGCGCGGCGGACCGTCCATGTGGCAGTTGTTTGATGGCGGGCACAGCGGTCGGGTTCCTTAAACTAATGTAATAACGTAGTTAGTACACGTAACCCCAATGTAAGTAGCGCAGTCGGGTACACCGGTAAACAATGCAATAAGCCCCAGTCAGTACACAGTAAACAATGCAATAACGTAGTCATACACGTAAAACAAGGTAATAAACGTAAGTCAGTACACGCGTAAAATTGTAAGTAACGTAGTCAGTACACGTAAACAGAGTGTAAGTAACGGAGTCAGTAACACGTAAAAATGTAATACGTTCAGTGCAGTACACCATACAACAAAGTGTATAACGTCGAGTCAGTACACAGAACACAATTAATAACGCATCGAGTACACTCGTAAACAAGTGTAATAAGCAGGCAAGTACATGCCAAACAATGGTAATGACGTAGTCAGTACACGTAAACACAAGGCAATAGGAGGTAGGTCAGTACATGTAAACAATGTATAAACGAGTCGCAGTACATTGCTACGAACAATGTAATGAACGTAGTCAGTACATTGTAAACTAATGTAATAACGTAGTCCAGTACACGGAAACAATGGAATAACGCGCAGTGCAGTAAATGCAAACTAATGTAATGAGCATAGTCCAAGATACACGCTAACAATGCAAATACGTAGTCAGTACACGCTAAATCAATGCAAATAACGTAGTCACGTCACAATAGTACAACAGATGCAAAATAAACGTGAGATCAGTACAGTGCCAACCAATGTAGTAATAAGAGCGTAGTTCGGGATACACGTAAACAATGCGGGGAATGAACGTGAGTCAGTACATGGTAAACAATGCTACATAAGTAACGGATGGTAGTGCGAGGTGTGGGATGGCTGCCTGCCCCCGCGGTCGTCTCGTACAACAGATGCAATAAGACGACAGGGTCATGCAACTATAAACAAAATTGAACTATACAATAAAACCGATACAATAAACTGATACCGATAAAATCGAAATCTCTCGACAACACACAGTAAGCTTACAGGAAATAATAAAATCTTGGACGCGGATTGAATAATAATCTAAAATTAAGAAGGGGTTTGTCATCGTGCTCCACGTTAATGTTTAAGTTTAGAAGCAGTTCGTAGTAATTAGATACCATAGCTCAACGTTTTGATCTGTTGTGCTTCCGTTGTGAATCGTTTAAGGCTAAATATGCCACGAGTGGGACGAATCTCATCCCTATCCAATCTACCATTTTTCACCGCTGTTGTGTTCTGTGACAAAGATACATCATTACGCTGATGAGACACGCACCAGGCTGCTAGCATGTACTCAGAAATGGAATACAAAACAATAACTGTCATCAAGACAATGAACACATGCAATAATGAGAAAAACGAGATTTAGATGTGAGGCCCCACCAGTGCGTGACTGCTGTCTATTACTATACCATGCAAGTAATGAATTTAGGGTCTAGTGGGCACGTGTGTAAAGTAATACTTTCTACTAGCCTACTCAAATCAGAGAGATGACGGTTATAATAATGGAATGCTCCCACATTATCTCTGAATACAAAATCAGCATCAAGCAGAAGCGACAGCGCACTCACTCTCTACATTAATTATCCAAAAAAAAGGATCCCTTGATTGCCCCAAAACCAATGCCTTTATGAGACGACGCTCATCTCATTTGGACAAACATTATCAGAAAAAAAGCATCCTGAATATCAAATTCCCAGTGCTTATTAAATAGAAAACCGGGTCACTCATTGGACAACATATATAGAGAAGAGGGATCCCCTGACATTTCAAATCCTAGTGATTTAGTAGACCCGAAGCCTCACTCATTTATTGGGGGTTTTGCCGGGGGGAAAACATTATCAGAAAAAAGGGCATCCCTTGAATTCAAATCCAGTGCTTTAAATGAAAATGCTACTTCATTGTTGGACAACATTATGAGAAGAAGCATCCCTGAAATTCAAATTCACTTAGGGGTGGCTTTATAGAACAATGTCACTCATCTTTGGAAACATATCAGAGAAAGGGGCATCTGATGCAAATCTAGGTGCTGTATAGGACGACGCTCACTCATTTGGACAAAATATCAAGAGAAAAAGCGGCATCCGGAATTCCAAATTCGCCAGTGCTTAAATAGACAATGTCACTCATTGGACAAACATATGGCAGAGAAGAGAGCAATCCGTCTGAAATTCAAATCCTAGTGCTTTATAGAGACAGATGCTGCGACTCATTTGGACGAAACAATTATGAGAGAAGAGGGCATCCCTGGACAGTTCAGAATCCTAGTTGCCCTTTAATAGACCAATGCATCACTCATATTGAATAAACATTGATGACGGAGAAGAGGGCCAATCACCTGAACTTAAAATCTAGTGCTTATAGACGACGCTCAACTCATTTGGACAATCAATATATCAGAAGGCAAAGAAGGCATCCCCACTGAATTCAAAATCTCTTAGTGGCTTTATCAGAGCGATGCTCATTATATGGGGGCACAAAGATTATGAGAGAAGAGGCGGGTCATCGCCCCGTGATATTTCAATGCCTGTCATTGCTTTATTAGACGATTGCTCACTCATATCGAGTGATTTATTATCAGAGAAGAGGGCATCCCACCTGAATTAATCCAGTGCTTGTATAATATAGAATGATGCTCAACTTCATATGGGACGAAACATATCAGAGAAGAGGGATCCATGGATTCAAAATGGAGTGCTGTATAGAGCAATGCCTCATCATTTGACAAAAATTATTTGAGAGTATGAGATCCACTGAAACTACAAATACCTAGTGCGATTTAATTAGACCGTATGCTAAATACATTTAGGGACAACACCAATTATCAAGAGAAGAGGGGGCAGCGCCGCTGGAATTCAAATCTACTGCATCTAAGAGAAAGGAACTGCGAATCCCGAGTCCAATGCCAGAAATTTATAGTGAGCGCTCGATCCACCTCTTCTGGCTTCCTGAGCATCTAATAGCTGACGAAAGATATACCAGCGCTCACTCTAGGTCCTTGGTGAATTGTCGCGGGCCGGGGCACAAGGACCCAGACACCGGATCTCTGCTCTTACAGTAGCTTCGCAAACGGAATGGGCAATGCCCCTCAATCCATCGACCAAATCAACGACCGAGCAACACTCAACCGCCTCCAGCTTCCACCTCCACACTGCACAGACAGCAGGGCAGCTGCGGCGAGTACAGTCACGAAGCAGTTGTATAAACGCGATGTACACAACATTATGAACACGGGATTAAAAGCAAATGAAGACAAATATATAAATAGCCTTAAAAATCCTTATATAAATCCTATATAATAACACATATATACAAGGACCAACACAAGCTTGCCCAGGTTTTAACGGATTGTCCAAGCGTTCTTATTCGAATATAGTTTATGATCGTGGTTACAATGTATGGAGTTATACATGCTAGCGTTAAGCTAGTCACTCATACGATCACAAACGTAATATCGTAATAGTACATATGTAAAAGCAGTTATACATACTATTGTATACTGATGCATATGATGATACAAACAGCTGAGACGACAGCTTACAGGAGTTCGACATTGTGATGAAGAGCCCATGCATGTCGCCTGAGGTTACCCAGCAAATCATCATACAACGTCAGGTTTCGTTGGTCGTGTTTTGGCAGATGCGAATCACTTCACCTGTGAATTGAGAATTCCGCATCTAAAAATCAAGTCATCTTGTAGTGAACCTTTATAAGAATGAGGTATGCGAACGAACCTGCATTCCCGAACAGACATCATAGCAGGCACGATCTTCTTGAATACTGGGCGTGCAAATTAGCGTGAGAAACATGCTATCCAAGAAGCTGAATAAAATACCTAGAGGGTAACAACTGGGGATAAACGCGGGAAAAATACGTGCCTAATTTTCACTGGCCAAATATTATTCATAGCGTATGATAATGCGGATAGCAGGCAAAGAAGATAGAATAAATAATTGACTGGTGAAATAAGCAAACTAATTTCCACCTGTAATTACCGATAGACTTTCTAGAGCGATTTATTGATAGCTCTTTTGAATGCTAATGCAATGTCCATAACTAAGTCACAGAATAAAAGTACAAGCATACACGCAACCATAATTACATAGACACAGAAGACCAGTGCATCTACAGAACCAATATGACAATACCTTTGGAGCCTGGGGGGGAGCCAAATTTTCCGGTACAATAAGATACTAACCATTCCACCGCCAACCCCCGTAGACTACTTGGGCATATGATCCAGTGTAATTACTAAAGCAGTTTATATTCGACAAACTGCAGGCAACATAGTTGTCATTACCGAATGCCAAAAAGATGAGGGCGTAAAAACATTCGCCGAGTAGTTGTATCAGACAAGAAGTCGCGTTAAACTCGCTATGCCTATCACACAAGATACACATGGCTATAAATAATAATAACAATAATGATGACATTTTAAATATTATACATTGGGATTCACA